AAAAAAAAAAAAAAAAAACTAAAAAAAAAAATAAAGACAGGGTTTCTTTGTGTAGCTTTGGCTGTCCTGGAACTAGCTCTTGTAGACCAGGCTGGCCTCCAACTCACAGACATCTGCCTGCCTCTGCCTCCCGAGTGCAGGGATTAAAGGCATGCACCACCACAGCCTTAGATCTTAATCACAGAACCATCTCTAGCCCTGGAGATTTGTTTTTGCAGCCTGAGCTGATGAAGACGATTCCATTATGTCTCTCTTCCCCAACCTCTGTTAATTTTTGTTCTAGGCTCTACCTTACTGATATTTTAATTGCCACAGCCTTATTCTTGTTTGGCTTCTGAGAATCTAGTGTGATTAGAAACAGCTGTATTTATGACATCAACCTTCATATCCAAGTGCACAAGCTAGCTCCACCCCTCTGACTTTGTTATCTCTCATAATATTTTGTAATTTTCTCATTCTTTATTACATAGCCTTATGGAATCCTCTCCTTAACATATTTTTTAAATTATGTGTATCTATGTGGGTGAAGTCATGTGCACATTGTACCGGTGCCCTCTAAGGTCATAGGTGACAGACAGATCCCTGGAGCTGGAGTTACAGGTGGTTATGAACTGTCTAATTTGGGTGCTAGGAATCAAATGCAGGTCCTCTACAAGAGCAATACAAATACAGCCTTCTAACCACTGAGCCAGCTCACTAGCCCCAAGTACAGGTTTTGTTGTTGTTGTTTCTTTTGTTTTAAGAACCTTGTGTAGCCCTGACCTTGAACTCACCTGCTTCCCCAGTGTTGGTATTAAAGGCCTGCACCACCGCGATCAGCTAGAACCCTCTCTTGAGAGTAAAGGACTGTATACAGTTGTCAAAATTTGCAAAAAGGGGTAGGTTTTACTATATATAGACAAAGATTTATTTTTTAAAAAAGATTTATTTGTTAATTATGTATAGTGTTCTGCCTGCACATATCCCTGCAAACCAGAAGAGGGCACCAGATCTTATTACAGATGGTTTTGTGCAGCCTTGTGGTTGCTGGGAATTAAACTGAGGTCCTCTGGAAGAACAGTCAGTGTTCTTAACCTCTTAACTATCTCTCCAGCCCAAATTTAACTTTTTAAAAAGGTGAGCTCTTTTAAAAAATTTATTTCATGTGCATTGGTGTGAAGGTGTCAGATCCCCAGAACAGGATGTGAGCTGCCATGTGGATGCTGGGAATTGAACCTGGGTCCTCTTGAAGAACAACTGAGCCATCTCTCCAGCCCCTAAAAGAAGTTTCAACAGCAGATAGTGTATGTGTAGATAGTAATAATTTGACAGATCAGAGAGAGCTAAAAGCACTGTGATTTATAACACAGAATTCTCAAACAGAACCTGTATAACCAGGTCTGACCATGGCGTGTGTGTGTGTGTGTGTGTGTGTGTGTGTGTGTGTTGGGGGGGGATTTAAGAGTCCGTCCTAAATACTGTCAGTTGATAGGTCCCTTCATCTGCTGGGGACGGTTACCCGCCGAAGACATCATCATCAAGTATACAGGCCCAGGTACTGTCGCCTGAACCTGCTGGCAGTGTGGTCATTTGGCAGTCTTCAACGCTAGCCTCCCCATGGCTCAGGCTCTCTCTGTCAACATCCAACGCTCACTCGCTCAAAGTCACCTGCTGGGGGCGCCACCAACGCATCCAGTATCAAGTCGTCACGTGTCCGGCTTGCGGCCTCACGGGAAAGGGGGGGCACTGCCACATTTCCTAGTCAGCTGCCCCCTCCTGTTGGGCTGCGCCTCCCGCTTCATGGCCGCCCCCGCTTCCGACCTGGGCCTCCTGGGATACCTGCTACTACTTCTGCTGGTTACCCCGGTCTGGGTCGCATCAGTCAGTCACCGACACCGACACCCTAAAAGCCAGGCAAATTCATTGAGTAGTGACGTGGGTAGGTCCCCGTCCCAGACTCTGGGACGGGTGGTCCTTTCAACCGGGTGGAACCTCGGCCCCCTAACACCCGGCCTGGCCCCTCCCAACTCACCCCCACTTTGTCTCCCCTCCCCCATCCGTCGCCCGCCCCTCCCGTGGCGTGGCCTTGTGCCCACTCTGAATTTGTTCCTCTCCTCAGCCTGTGGCCGGCCAGTTCTGGAGGGTAAGATCTTGGGAGGAATGCCATCCCCCTTTCAGAAATGGCCGTGGCTGGTCAGCCTGCATTACGCTGGCTTTCATTTCTGCGGTGGCTCCATTCTCAATGCCTACTGGGTGCTGACGGCAGCACACTGCTTTGCCAGGTGAGAGGTGCAGGGGCTGTTAGGGGTAATGGGACAGGGACACAGGAAAGGAGAAGCCTGGGCCATGTACATGCCCATGGCTTGGACTGCTGTACCCACCCTCAAAAGTTCTTTCCTCCTTACATCAAGCCCTACCCACCATGACTGAGACACTCATGTCCCTGTCCCTCTCCTCTGGCTCCAAGTTGCTTCCCGTAGACCAACATAGATTTATCCACCCTAGCTAGTGGCCAGACCAGTACCTGACTGCATGGCCTGACCTCATGAGTGTAGTAGCTCTTCTTTACGGGCTACGCTATGTTTCTACCGGGTTTACCCTCATCAGGAAGGTCCCCCACACTAGGAGGCCGTGTTTTCCACAGTGAACACAGAGCTTTCTCTGGGCAGATGGCCCTGTCTCCCGAGCGTCTTCCAGTCAGGCCCACAGCTGTTCGGAAGAGGCCAAAGGGGGGTCTGGTCCATGTGCATGGTTATCCGACTCTCATAGGCACAGACTCCTAGGGCTCCCCAAGTCTCCATCAGCCCAAATCAGGTCCTCTTCAAGGTCAGCCAGATAGGTCTACACTGGTGTGCAGGCAGGCCTGGGCTTTCCAGTCTGGAAGACCCCCATCTGTGGGCTGATGATACAGGGGGCTGCAGGCAGTTGGCCTCCATTCTGGTCTGCAGGGTGAAGAGTATTGAAAGCTTTGATGTGTATGTGGGCATCAACAACCTCGACGTGGCCACCAGACACACCCAGTGGTTTGAGATTAACGAGGTGATCGTTCACCCCACCTACAAACTCTTTCACCCTATTGGAGGGGACGTGGCCCTCGTTCAGCTGAAGAAACCCATCATATTCTCTGACTCCGTGCTCCCCATTTGCATGCCGCCTTCCAACCTCAACCTCGACAATGTGCCTTGCTGGGCCGCTGGATGGGGAATGGTCTCACCGCAAGGTATGAGCCAAACACGACCTCATAGGAGTAGAGCATAGAATGGGTGTCCATAGTGTTTGGGAAGGTGAATAGGAGAATAGCCAGAAGATGCAGACACTAAGGAAATAGTCCACTGCCAATAAAAAATAGCTACTGGAGATGAAAATTCCATTAAGGGGTTTACGGCAAGAGGGAGAACCAGTGACCTTGGAGATAGATGAATAGAAATTATCCATATTGAAACAGCAGCAACAAAATATGTGTGAAAGGGGAACAGAATGAGAAGGAAAAAGAAACTCCCCAAAGTGGGTGGGTGGGGGTTCCCTGTGTGGGTAGGGCTTGCCTGTATGGATGGGGCTTCCCTGTATTGGTGGGTATCTTGTGGGTGGGGCTTCCCAGTATGGGTGGGTATCCTTATGGGTGGGGCTTTCCTGTATAGGTGGGTATCCTTGTGGGTGGGGCTTTCCTGTGTGGGTGGGGTTTCCCTGTGTGGGTGGGGCTTCCCTTGTGGGCCAGGCCAGTCTGCGTGTTGGATGTCTCTTGCATATGTACCGGTAGCCTCTTGAGGTGGGATTCCGTCCAGTTTTGTCCTCCATTGACCAAGAACCCAAGAATATCTGTGGCTCCTTTCCTCCAGGAACTAAGACTTCGCTGGACTGAGACAGGCACCCTCACCTGGCAGTTCCTCTCCCTTCTCCTCATAGGTGACACCTTGAAACAGCTACAGGAAGTCCAGTTGCCACTAATCCCCATGTTCCAGTGCCAGCTGCTCTATGGATATGTGTCTTACCTCCTGCCGGAAATGCTGTGTGCTGGGGACATCGCGAATGTGAAGAATGTGTGTGAGGTGCGCCCCATTCTTTCGGACCAGAGCTGGGCTCTGGTGGAGGTAGGGGACTGCTGGGGTGGCTGGATCCGGGTAGTGTGTCACCACCACACACTCTCACACTTGTGCCAGACCTCAGTGCTGAGGCTCTGGGCTCTGTGGCAGTCAGACAGGGGACTTTGTGTGTGAAGGGGGCTGGGGGGGGGAATGGGACATAGGCCACCCTGCACCCGAGGGCCATACCTGGACTAGTAGATCACAGACAGCCCCTCTTCCTTCACAGGGTGACTCTGGTGGCCCACTGGTATGTAAGCTGAACCAGACCTGGCTGCAGATTGGAATAGTTAGCTGGGGCCGCGGGTGCTCCCACCCCCTGTACCCAGGGGTGTTTGCCAATGTCTCCTATTTTTTGAATTGGATTAGTTATCATGTGAAGAACACACCCATTCCTCCTCAGGTGTCCCCCTCGCTCTCTTCATCCCTGAGAGCCACCCTTAGTGTTTTTGTGACCATGCTGGCAAGCCTATCGGTGTGGTGAGGCCTGGGACGCCACCCTTGTGGGATGCCTCATGCCCTGTTCCTGTTCTCTGTAGCTCTCCAGCCCCGTCCCCACACACTTTGTGTCATGAAGCCAGGACACTTGTCCCAGACTTTATCTAAGTCTGTAAAAAGCTGAGCAAAAGAAGTGGAGAGGGTCAGAGATGGACCAGGAGGGAGAGCTGGGGGACAGCGGGGGTGAGCCAAGAGCTTGAGCTCTCTACAGTCAAACTTATTAAAACATTTGTGAAAGAGCCGCCTTGAACTCCTCACCTCGCCTCCCACTCCAGTGTCATTACAGAGCCTTCCCTGTGCAATGGGTGAAGTCCACACATTCAGACATGTGCCCCACCATGTGAAAAGAGGCACAGGAGACTGGAGAGATGGCTCAGTGCTTAAGAGCTGCTCTTGGAGAGGACCCAGGTTCAATCCCCAGCAACCACATTGCAGCTCACAACCATCGCTGACTCCAGTTTCAGGGATCTAATGCCCATTTTTGGCATCCACAGACACCAGGAACAAGGCACACATGAGTTACACAGATATACTTGGGGTGAAACATCCATCCACATAAGATATAGTAATATATCTTATTACATAAATATATTATATAAAATATAGTTTAGAGGGCTGGGAGGAAAAAGGTACAAAACAAACTGAACTTTTCTAAACACCTGGGCAGGTCTGTGGGCACAGGAGGAAAGGCGACGGTTTCAGTTTAAACGTCAGAAAAGAGTTTTGATACATGGCAACATCCTAAGTGGGGAAGCAGAAAACATAAACTGAGAATAAGCAGATACGGGGAAGAAGCCAAAAGGGTTGTGTAGAAACGAATCGGCAGAAAGCTCTACAGCACCCAGTCTGGGGTCTGCAGGACCTGTGCCCCCAGGTTCTGCCAGCTTCAGATAGAAAATATCCCCCCAAGTTTTATGTCTGCCGAACATGAACGGACTCCCCAGACAATGCAGCATGCCGATGATTGGCATTAGTGGCCGCTGCACTGTGTCGGGGGTCGTAGTCACCTACAGGTGGTTTAGATTTGTGTGAGGAAGCAGGCATGGTGGCACAGGCCTATAGTTCTGGCACTCGGGATGCTGAAGTAGGAGGGTGCCAAGTTTGAGGCCAGCCTGGCCTACCTGGAGAGAAACCTGTCTTTAAAACATTGTACGTGGAAGGATGTGAGAAGCATGACATTTTTATGAGGGTCCGAGCTTGTGGCAGAGTTCTGCCACAGTGCCTGCAAGATGCCGAAAGACCTCTGGATTTCAAAATGTTGCCTTTCTTTTTTCTTTTCTTTTTTTCAAGACAGGGTTTCTCTGTGTAACAGCCCTGGCTGTCTTGGAACTTTGCTTTGTAGACCAGGCTGGCCTCGAACTCACAGAGATCCACCTGCCTCTGTCTCCCGAGTGCTGGGGTTAAAGGCGTGCGCCACCACCACCCAACAAAATGTTGGTTTTTGAAGGAAACAAAAAGTAGGGAAGCAATTATTAACTTAAGATAGAAGATGAAAACAAAAGTTCACGAAAGAAAAGACACAGGAAATACCTACTGAGTAGACGGTGTGTAAGAGCTCAAAGAAGGTATTATATGTAATTCTATGCAAATAAATAATTAAAAAAACTTTAAAAAGCTAGCCCCCGCAGAGAAAGGAGGTTAAAACAGACCAGATTCCATAAACAAATGGAGATATTTAAGAAAGCAACACTTACCCCCACCCCCATTTAGTACAGTCCCTGCGAACAAGTTTCCTTGGGAGATGGACTTAACCCTTCACTCCAGAGGTTCCCCAGCACTGCTTGGACTGCTGGAAGCTCAGCTAAGAGAGCAGCCTTCTGCTTGCCACCAGCAGCAACTTTGGATGAAGATACACTAACATAATCCAATGTATGGACAGGAATCCAAAAACCCTAGTGAGGGGCAGGTGAGATGGTGCAGTGGGGAAAGGGGCTTGCCATCAAGCCTAAAGGCCTGAGTTCAACCCCAGGGACCTTCAGGGTGGAGACAACTGAACCCACAAGATATCCTTTAAGCTCTATGTGTGTCTTTTAGCACAGGAGCACATACACACATACATAAGTAAATAATAAATGTAATGAAAAATAAATAAAAAAAACCCTACGGAAAGATTAACAAACAGAATCCTAGCTTACTTTTCAAACTAGTGCCCTACAATCAAATGGGACCTAATCTGTCATATGAGACTTATTAAATGTTAGGCAGGGCGGTGGTGATGCACACCTTTAATCCCAGCACTCCGGACACAGAGGCAGGTGGATCTTAGTGAGTTCGAGTCCAGCCTGGCCCACAGAGCTAGTTCCAGGACAGCCAGGGTTACACAGAGAAACCCTGTCTCGAAAAACTAAAGGAGAAAAAAAAGTTAGTAAATACATAGATAAAATCCACCGTATCCATTGTTCTGCTTTGGTAAATGCCAATGAGAAAGTTTTTTTTTTTAACAAATTCAGAAGCCATTCTTGTTTTCAAAAGCAGGTAGGATTATACGGCTAAGAAGATGTGTGCTTGAATCCCTCAGTCTAACCTTGGCAGGGTTAGACATGCCCAAGGCCTGAAATACAGGGAGGCTGGAGCAGTCCCCGCTCTGCCTCTGAGTCTGTCACCACAGTCACACGGAGGACCTGTCCAGGAAATGGAGGGAATGGTTTGAGACATCTTTTGTAAAAAAGGACTTGGAGGAAAGTGAGAATTGACCGTGGGCATCAGCCACTTGTGAAGAGAAACACTTCAGAGGAGGCTGTGCCTCAGCAGAGAGCACACCCTGGCAGGGAAGAAGAGAACAAGACTCCATGCCTGGAGCCCTAGCACGGCTTGTGGAAACGGTGATGAATCCCTTCAACGCCACCACAGGCGGAGTGTCTTAAAAAGCTCATGTGTTTCTTTGGCTCGCAGTTCAGAGCATGGTGCTAGTACCGTACCACGGTGGATGGCACCCCATCATGGCACAGCAGCATATCAGAGAGTGCTGCCCACCAGTCACCCCCTCCTTACCCACAAATCTAAAGTTCCTGTGTAATTAATCTACCGTGAGACCAGTTCCTCAGCACCCAGGCACCTACAGGGAACTGACTTATGGCTTAGGGACCGAGTGTGACACGTGGATATGGAAGACATAGCCAAGCCCTAGGACCCCTACAAACAGCAAAGACGCAAAGAAAAAGTAGACTTGAGGCTAGACATATAGATACCTAACATGTATGAAGCCTAGGGATGGATCTCCAGCACCTCATAAATCAGGTACGGTGCCATACACCTGTGATCTCAGTACTTGGAAGATGGAGATGGAAGTTCAGGAGTTTAAGGTCACCCTTGGCTTAAACTTTTTTGAGACAGGTGTTGTCTCAAAAAAAATGTAGGCTTTAATAGATGGTGTACAGTTTATATTCTCAGCTAGGGCAACTTGAACTAAAGTGGGAGAGTTCTTTCGTGCTTTTGGCCCTAGATGGGTTGATTTCCATGTTTACATCAAATCACAAGTAAGCAAATATGCTCAGAACAATTTCATCGTGAAAGCCAGTAGCATAGACCTATGGCCAGTGGTGCAGACCCAGACCCTGCAATCAGCGCAATCAGCATGCCCCAAAAGGTGGATAATTTGTTTCTGTCCAAGAACAGACAGATGCGTGAGTGGATGGAGCCTGAAGCTCAGTACTTCAGTATGTGAATAAAAGCGAGGCATGGTGGCGTAAGCACGTAATCCCATCACTTGGAAAGTTGAGGCAGACGGATCGTGAGTTTGAGGTTAACTTGGGTTATAATATCCTTTAAAAGAGGGCTGGAGAGATGGCTCAGAGGGTAAGAGCACTGGCTGCTCTTCCAGAGGTCCCGAGTTCAATTCCCAGCAACCACATGATGGCTCACAACCTCCTTGCCAGCAGTCCATTGTATGCTTAATAAATAAATCTTTAAAAAAAAAAATATCCTTTAAAAGAAAATAAAAATCATAAATGCTGTAAAAGGATTCAGAAAATTGTCACATGCCAGGTAGTCCCCTTGGGAGGATAAGAATTGAACAGGATGGCTAGCTTCTGCTGCACTAGGTCTCACATGCTGGTGTGAAACTGCAGGGAAGCTCCATGTGCTCTCGGTGCTGCCTGCATCACTTCCATCTCTAACATTTACATTTATCTTAGCAGCAATTGTTCAGGATCAACTGTGAACACACTGGGTCTCTTTTCCCAGCCTATCTTGCAACATCCGGGGCCAGCAGGGACCGTACAGGCCCCAACTCAAGGAGAGGCACTGTAGAGCACACCGCAGTCACACTGAGAGCCTTCCCAGTACGGTGCTGACCTTGTAGTGTGTGCAGGGCGACACTCCTCCACCCGTCCCTGTCTGGGTGTGATGTCATGAGCCAGAACTCTTTTCCGTCCCTGGATGCACCGGGCCTCTCCAGGAGACAAAGGGCTCAGGAAGATGCCCTGCTCTAAGCAATCCAGTTATGGCTCTGCTGTCGACACTAACTTCCCAGTTTCTGGTGACACTGATAGAGAGATTCTGTAGTCATCCACACCCACTCGCCTGAGATAGTGATATTTAAGGGACGAAGAAGGTTCATATACCAAGTCCGTGGTCTATGCAGAACAATGGAGTGAATGTTTAAAATGTGTATAGTGAGAGATCACTTTGGTGTGTGTGTGTGTGTGTGTGTGTGTACATGCTTGTGAGGAGGTGTGCCTGTGTGCACCTGCACATGGAGGGCACAAGACAGCCTCAAGTGTTATTCCACAGGAGCTAACCGCTTTGTCCTTTTGGCTTTGTTTGCTTGTTAGTTTTTAATGTATATGAGTGTTTTGTCTGCATGGAAGTCTGTGAGCCATGTGCACGCCTGGTGACTGCAGAGGCTAGAAGAGGGCATCAGATCCTCCATGACCTAGTCGAAGCGGTTGTGAGTACCGGGGCTCGAACCCAGGTACTCTGAAAGAGCAGCCAGTACTTTCAGCCATGGAGCCATCTCTCTAGCTCCACATCCCAGATCTTTCACTGGCCTGGAACTCACTCATTTTGCTAGTTCAGCCTGCCAGCCACCCCAGGGATCCTTCTGTTTCTGTCTCTCTAGAGCAGAGATCCAAGCACGTGCCATCGTGCTGGCTTATTTTACATGGTCCTGGAGTTCGAACGCAGGTCCTCGTGCCTACATAGGAAGCACTTACTGAGCCATTTCCCCAGCATTTGGGGATTTTTTTTTTAAGTTCATTAATTTGCCTTTCAATTTATTTACTGTTTTAGAGACCCACTTTTTCTATTTTTTGAATTTTCCAGTTGTCATAATGTTACACACTTTCGAATACGGTGTGCTGTCTCAGTGCATGCAGATCCTGAGCAAAGCGAGCACGCGTCTTCCCCTCCCAGTCATGGTGGGCCCCCATCTTCCTCCTCCTATCCCTCAGCCCG